GTCTCTGACAGTACACAGGTGAGAAACTGTACATCCTAACCCTAACACTGGAGACCATCCACACACTGTTAGTCTCCAACAGTACACAGCTGAGAAACTGTACATCCTAACCCTAACACTGGAGACCATCCACACACTGTTAGTCTCTGACAGTACACAGGTGAGAAACTGTACATCCTAACCCTAACACTGGAGACCATCCACACACTGTTAGTCTCTGACAGTACACAGGTGAGAAACTGTACATCCTAACCCTAACCACAACCCCAACACTGGAGACATGTAGTATTGTCTGAACGTTGATTTCCTCCAGGCCCCCTGCTCTGATTGGCTGCCGCCGCTGCTGCAGGATGCCCTGCGACACGTGTACCAACGCAGCATCATGGAGACCAAGGACGACATCCTGGACATCATCCAGAAGGTAACACATGTACCTTCTCTTCAATGTTTCTCCTTGCATTAAACAATGAAAATCTTAACCTGCATTCTGAAAAGCATTTTGTAATTTGGCAAATGTCTAACTTTAACTTGTTATGTTCACCTACTGTAATGTGTTGCCATTAAGCATTATTTGATTTTGGTGGCTTAAAGCAAATCCATACAATTTTTCAACAAACAGTCACACAGTGCTGTTCAAATATCTTTTTAGGTCTGGCTAAGGCTACTGGAGAAGGCCCCCCTGGAGTACCTGGTAGCAGCAGCCTGCCCCTGGCTCAGTGCCTGGTTGTGCCTGGCCATGCAGCCGGCCCAGGTGCAGATTGACTCCACCATGCTGGTAGACAGCCGTATGAAGGGGAAGGTAAGAACATAAAAAAAATTACAAATTGAAATACTTGTGACACTAAGTTACAATACACATATTAATGAATCACGCAACTGGAAGACAAAAGCCATTAGGATTCAATAAAAAATATAACAATACATTTTTAATAGAATGATAAATACTACAAGCCTTAACACTACCATTAGTGTCCTGTTCCTTGTATAAGGGTACGGTCCAAAAAGTGGTTGGTTATTGTAATAACCAACCACTTTTGAGGTTACAGCCTGATAACAGATGGGAAATGGAGCCTTCTGATTGGTCGACGTCTTCTTGCTATATGATAATGTCAGTTACCATTATTGATTCCAGATTTTACATCAATCTTCCAGTTTGACAAGCAAGAAATTGTGATTTTTTTTGTTATAATTTTATGCAGGAGAGAGGACCGTCCACTCCAAGGAGTCGAACAGCTCCCATCATCAAGGAGGTTCTGGAGTACATTGGAGGGGCGGAGTCAGTTACCATGGATACGCCACAGTCCAGAGACCACTGTGTCATCAAAGCACGACTCACTGCTGTCAGGTGACCTTGACTTGTGACTTTGACCTTGCCAGTTTGAGTTACAATATGCACCTCAAGGTTTCTTGTCAGAAGAATACTTTTTTTTAAAGTGAACTTAATTTTTTTGACAGGTTGCTGGGCTGCCTGTCATCCTACATTGGCCAGCCGCTGCCCACTTTACAGCCGGGTGAGACAGCACCAGTAGACAGCCTGGGACAGCTGCTATGCTTCCATCTGAGTGGGAAGTCTGCTGTCCAGCGAATGGTGGCAGCTCTGGTGGTTAGGAACTGGGCCCAGTTTCAACAGGTTCGGCAGTTCCTCTCT